CCCGTAGGTCAAATGACCCCCTGTAGGTAAAAAGTCCTGTAGGTCAAATGTCCCGTAGGTCAAATGTCCCATTGTAGGTAAAATGTCCTGTAGGTCAAATGTCCCGTAGGTCAAATGACCGAATACCATAGCTATACTGTTAGCTTTGAGTGAAATTGCATTAAATGAAAAGCGTTTTTCCAGAATCAACGAAACGATTGTGCAAATGCATATCAAATAGTACCAAATATATATAATACATAAATAGTGTGTATTCAATTGAATAAAAGTTTCAAACCAAACAAATTAGGTATTCTCACTGACCATTGGCTATTAGGTATTCTCACTGACCATTGGCTATTAGGTATTCTCACTGACCATTGGCTATTAGCTACTGAAAGACCTGTCTGACAAGTCGTAGATGTAAATATTGTCAGTGGCCACATGTCAGTGGTGTTGGTATACTATTCCAGGTATAGCGTAGCATTATTTACCTTTATATTTAAGCCTATTTTGAGCACTTGGATGATTATGGAAAAACTCGTTTCAAATGTACAAGCTCAAATAGTTGACCATTTATTGAACATTTGCGCGTAATGCAACAAAATATGTATTTAATCATATTAGTCTATAACAGTCAACATAATAGTCTATTATTAATAGATGTACAGTACCTTCATTACTAATGGACGTTAACAACCTCAAACACTTCAATATAACGTGCCGGTGCTCTGTGCACTCATCACACTTACCAAGCTCAACTTACTAATAATATAAGTACTCAACCAATTAACAGGTATAGTGTGTTCAGTGCAAATAGCACCGGTAGCTTATCTAACAATTCAAATTGAAGAATTGTATAACAAATTGCGTATTATTTCTAATAAATTGTTTATTATTATTACATTTGATGCATACATTGCGCAAAAGTGCGGTATATTCAATGAATTTGATTCCACATAAACCGGAGTTTACTGTCATTATCGGGTGGATAGGGCTTACTATTGACATAAAAACAATACCAGTAGTACTGTCCAGTACTGTCTCGCTCTGGCATTCATTGACTGATGAATGAATGAATGAATTTGGAGGATTTAATCCATAATTCATATGAAACAGTGATTTGAAATAAAATATAATTTTATTAAAAAATACAGAAAATAATGGAAAAATAATTCAATACAGACAATACAGACAATACAGACATATTAATTGATAGGTTGGATGAGAGTGTCGATGGATATGTGGATCAGTTGATGGCGAGTGCGTCGTTCTGCATCTCGAGGGTGACCTGAGTCTGCAAATCACTCAACTTCTTCTTGAGTTGGTTGAGTCCAGACATGACAATATTGGCCGGTTTTAGACATCCGGACGACTCGACGGTAAAGAAGAACTTATTGGGCTTTCCGTCGCGAATATAGTCGGCCTCATAGCGGGTGTCCTCGTCGTTGAACTCCGAGTACTCACTTCGCGGCCATTCCTCCGGTTTGGGGAACAGCGTGTGTCTGAAGGCGTTGTCCGGATCGTACTCGAAGGCCACACCACACGTGGGGTTCCACTTGGCGTGCTCTTTGCCGAACCCTACCATCGATTGAGACAATTTCATGAAAACCTAATCCAATGTCAAGACAAATACCAACCCTTCTTGGCGTAGGCCTTAATCTTGAGTTCCTGTCCGCGCCTTAACTTCACGATCAGTATCTCGTTGTCGACGTCCGTCTCGTCGTAGTCCTCGTCGTTGTCGTGATGTCTGGAGGAGACGGGCAGCACTCGCGCCTCCGATGACTTAAGGTCAGCGCTGGTCACCGATTTGGTCTCTTCTGTAGTGCACTTCACGTCGAGAGTGAACTCAACGGAACAATCGGGACAGAAGTCAACACACGTGCAGTCGCGGGAGTACTGCATGCGATCGACCACATCATCGCACGTCAATGGGATCAGACCCAACCGATGGGCGATGAACTCGTCGTGAAGTACCGATGAGTTCGCCTCGAGTTGCACCCAATCGATGGCAAGAGTGGGCACTTCGGCGATGAATACGCGCCGCAAAGCGTTGGCCACCGATAGGTCCGTGTCTTCGACACTGAATTTGATGCTCTCTTCGGTGATCCCGGAGTCGGGTATTGTGACCGACGGCTGGTTGGCGTAAGGCATCACTGGATCCGATCAGTAGACCTCTTCAGTCGATGTGACTGTGTTTGCAATTAAAACGATTCACACAAACAATGCCTTCAAAACA